TGGAGGTTCGGGGACACCAGGAATGGAACCTGAGATATCGGGGTCTGAGATGATGGGGACCCAGGAGGCAGAGGTTGGAGGTCCAGGGGTCCCAGGAATGGAACCTGAGATATCAGAGTCTGAGATGATGGGGACCCAGGAGGCAGAGGTTGGAGGTCCAGGGGTCCCAGGAATGGAACCTAGGATAGTGAGGTCTGAGATGTTAGGGATCTGGGAGACAGCAAGGGGAGAATCAGGGGCTGCAGGGGCAGAATCTGTGATGTCATATGATGAAGAACAGGGGACCCAAGAGATATTGTCAGAGGCTGAAAAGACAAAAGCTGGGATTTTGAGGGTTCAGGAAGCAGAAACTAGAGCTTGGGGGACTGTAGAAACCAAACTAGAGACTTTGGTCACTTCACCTGAAGTTCTGGGGTGCCAGGAAGCAGAGGCAGAGACTGCAGGAGCACAGCACACAGGGACTAAAGGTTTGAGGGTCTCAGTGTTAGCGGCTGGGGGACTGGACCTCTCAGAAACCAAATCTGGGATTTTGGGGACCCAGGAAACAGAATCAGAAGTTTTGGGGTCCTCAGAAAACAAATCTGGAATTTTTGAGGCCCAGGAAGCAGAGGTCTTGGGGCCCGAGAAGACACACGCAGCTGAGGGAAGGCCCCCAGAGGCCTGCCGGGCTGAAGTGCAGGTGGCCGGCAGGGCAGGGGCTGGGGTGCCCAGCGCCCCGGGGGCCTCCTCCCCAGAGGAGCCGGAAGAGGACAGGAGGCTGCCGGGCAGCCAGGTAGGGATGGGCACCGCCGAGGGCCCAGTCTGCTGCTTGCCACTAACTCGAGGCTGAGAAACGGCGGCTGTGCATGGACCTACCTGGTCTGGGACGGGAGGGAGGGGGCTCTGCTTCAAGGAGCCCCCACCCCTCCTCTCTTAGGATGCCGGGCCCTCCTACCCTGTCTTCCTTGAGTCCAAGTGAGCTGGATCTCCTTGTGCTGGTTTTCTGGGCTGACCCTGAGGTGTGGCTGCTGGTGATTTCTGACCTTGCCTGGGTGCTATTGGCTTTTTTGGTGATCTTGGTAGATAATCCCTAGCTGGAACCCTCTTGGCCAGGACCCAGGGCTCTAGCTAGTGGGCTCTAGTGACCCCTGATGGCCCTGAGCTAAGGCAGTTTGATACCAGGCCTGAGCTTTCCTGAGGGGCAGGGGGCAAGGCTCCTGAGTACTCGTTCTCTGAGCCCACCTGGTGTCCCCAGGTGCCACCTGCTCTGGTCAGCTCCAGCCAGTCCCTGCTAGAGTGGTGCCAGGAAGTCACTGCTGGCTACCGTGGCGTCCGCATCACCAACTTCACAACATCCTGGCGCAACGGGCTGGCCTTCTGTGCCATCCTGCACCGATTCCACCCGGATAAGATGTGAGCCATTGTGGGGGGAGGATGTGGGGAGCCCACAGAGGGACAGCAGAACGAGCTGGCATGCCTGTGCCTCCCTGACTGGCACTTTCTCTACAGCAACTTTGCCTCCCTGGACCCACTCAACATCAAAGAAAACAACAAGCAGGTGAGCAAGGGCTGAAGGGTGCCCAGGGAAAGGGAGGAGGGGCAGAGCCAGGTTTGGGGCCAGAGATGTGGGGGTTGGGGACCTATAGGAGAGGAAGCTGTGGGTCACGGGACCCAGCAGTGACTTTTGAACTCTGCCACTTTTACCCTTTGGGTGAAAGTATAAGGAACTAACTATTCCTTGCCCTTGCATTTTGGTTGTTTTGTTTTGTTTTAGTTTAATGCGTATTTGTCTCTAGATAGTTCCAGAGGCATCCTTTGGTTACTCTGCAGACCCTGTGCATTTGCTAGGGAACAGAGGGTGGGCCTGTCAGTAAAGCTCTCAAAACTAGGAAAACTGAGTTGGGGGAGTCACGGGACCCTCTTAATGGAGGATGAGGCTGACTCTGAGCCCCCAACGCAGGCCTTCGATGGCTTCGCGGCCCTGGGCGTGTCGCGGCTGCTGGAGCCGGCTGACATGGTGCTGCTGGCGGTGCCAGACAAGCTCATCGTCATGACCTACCTGTGCCAGATCCGCGCCTTCTGCACCGGCCAGGAGCTGCAGCTGGTGCAGCTGGAGGGCGGCGGCGGTGAGGGCACCTACCGGGTGGGCGCCCCGCCAGGTCCGCCCGTCGACCTGGACCCTGGTGGCCTGGCACAGCGGCTGCGGGGGCATGGAGCCGAGGGGCCCCGGGAGCCCAGGGAGGTGGCGAGCCGGGTGGACGGGGTAGCCCCCGCTGCGGCCCCCAACGGGGAGACCTCGCAGGAGGCACGGCCGCCCGAGGTGCCCGCCGATGGCTCCGGCGTTCGGCCGCCCGCGACCCCGGCCGAGGGGCTGGTGAACGGGGCTCCTGGGGGCGGCGTGAGGCTGCGACGGTCGTCGGTGAACGGGGAGGCCGGGCCTGTGCCCCCGCCCCGCGCGCACGGCTCCTTCTCCCACGTGCGGGACGCCGACCTGCTGAAGAAGAGGCGCTCGCGGCTGCGCAACAGCAACTCCTTCTCGGTGGACGAGCCGGACGCTGGGGCCCCGGTGAGTCCCCACGGTCGGGGAAAATGGTCTGGCAGGGCTGGTGTTCAGGACCGAGGGACGGCAAGGTAGATAGAGGTGGCAGGGGACCTGTATCTGCCAGGCCGCCATTGTCTCGTGTCCTGGCTCAGCTGGCAACCTTGGAGTTCAGGCTAAGTCTTGAAAATTTTGGGGTGGGGTGGGTGTTGTGTGTGTGTCCCCGTCCCGTCAAATCAAATCTGACTGGTACAGGAGGAGATTGTCCCTCCTTCTCCAGCAGAGCATCTGGTGGATTTGAACTGCACACCTCTGGTATTGCAGTGTAGCTTCCTGCCACTAGACCACCACAGCTCCCTACAGGCTGATAATTTTTTTTAATTATTATTTTGTGTATGTGTGTCTGTGTACCGTCAGATCAGATCTGACTGGTACAGGAAGAGATTGTCCCTCCTTTCTCGGCAGAGCATCTGGTGGACTCGAACCATGCGTCTCTGGGATTGCAGTGCAGCTTCTTGCCACTAGGCCACCAGAGCTCCCCTAGGCTGATAATTTTTAATGGCTTAGGAGCACCTTGGGCTGTAGTAGGAAGCACCCGGAAGTCTGTGGGGCTGCTCCCAGCACCAGCTCTGCAGCCTGGGTGGGCTGGGAACTTAACTTCTCTTCTGGCGGCCCAGAGCCAAGCAACCACCTCCCACTCCACAAGCTGGGTGCTGACCTTCTACTCTGCAGGGTGGCCCTCCAGGATGCCCGGCCCTACGGCGCTCCTTGATCGTCCACCCCAGAGGCTGGAAGAGCAGTCCTTCTCTTCTGATAATGGGAGTCTGGAGATTGGGGTTCCTGCTACGGGCCATGTCGCCATCCCCTGCAGGTCTCAGGCCAGAGTGCCCTGGGGTCAGGTCATCCCCAGACTGGAAGAGTGGTCCCAGTGAGGTCAGGATTTGCTCTGAGTTCACAGCTACTGAAGGCCAGGCCACATGCTCTGGGGCTCCAGCCACTGTACCGCCCTGCCTGTGATGACAGAAGCCATGTGCTTGGTCTTCAGGATGCCAGCTACCTAGGGTTGGCTTATGAGTTTGAAAGGAAAAGGGGTGAGCTGAGAAAGAGTTCCTGGAAAAAGTAAGCCATTTTCAAAGAGCTGATAAGATGGATGGATTTTTCCAAATGAGAAGGAGCAGACTGCTTCATCTAAGGAGCTCACAGGACTCCTGTCCTCTGAGGGGAAGCTGGGAGAGCAGGGGCCTTGATTGCCAGGATCAGAGGTTCAGGGTTGATTTTGTGAAGGACAGAGGGGGTATGATAGGCAGGAGATAGCAGGACACAGCTGCCCCTGTCTCCCTCGCTGCCTCTTGGGCTTCAGGCTACAGCCCGTTTAAGGTGGGTCAGTGGCTCTTTAAATCTTGGAGAGGCGGACCCATCCTCCACCTCTTGGGCCCAAGGCCCAGCATTTGGCTTTCCAAACTTTCCTCTGGGCCTGGTCCCACTGGAGATAGTTGACCCTTGAGGTTGGAGAGGGCTCCTCCTTGGCCACCCCAGCCTCCAACTCCTGGGCCTGCAGTGGGAGGGCCTGGGGCCTGGCTTCATACTCTAGAGCTCCCAGAATCCTGAAGGCGGGGTGGGGCTGGAGCAGTGCGCAAGGACTGGGTGCCTCAAGCACAGCCCTGAAGGGGCGGCCCAGGGAGGGGGGTGTGGAAAGAAAAGAGGAATTGGGTCAGACAGGAGGAAGCTTTACTTGCAATTCCCATCAGGGCTGGGCGTGTAAACTGACTGCTGAGATTGGGGATTCTTGCCTCTCCTGCCTCAGAAACTGCACTTGTCATGTGTTTTCTGTGGGGCTAGCCCGTCCTGATGACGCCTCATCTCCTGCACCAGGCCCCTCGGAGGAGGAGTGGTTACCCCAGTTTACAGATGGGGATGATGAGGCTCAGGACTCAAGCTTGAGCCTGTAAGTGGCGCCCTCTAGTGGGCACAGCACCTTTGGCTGTGTAACCCTAAACAAGGTATCTAACCTTTCTGTGCCCTCTCCCTGCTTCGGAGAGGTGATCCTGTGGCATCGAGGCCACTGGAGAGTGTTGTGTGTTCCTCTAGGTGACACTTAGGTTTAGGTTCAACACGCTAACCTTTCAATTGTTGTCGTTGTGTACTGTCAAGTTGGAGCCGACTCATAGCTCTGATGGGTTTTCCGAGGCATGGGAGGAGACTGCCCAGCAGCTGGTGGCCTCAACCTGGGTGTCTTTGGGATTGCAGCACAGCTTCTTGCCACTAGGCTACCAGAGCTGAGTATTTATTTAACCACTGTCACCAGGGCTCCTAGACATCCTCAAAGTCATTGTCGTCAAGTTAGAACTGACTCATTTTCAGAGGCTGTAAATCACACGAGGTTTGCTTGGTTTTCTCCCTTGGAGTCACTGGTGGATGTCACAAAAGCACCCTCTCTGTCTCCCAGTGGACTGTGCTCCCAGCGCTCTCCTAGACATAGCTGAGCTCGCATCGTGTCTGCAAGGCCAGCTCAACCTGGGAAACTCATACACATACACACACACACACACACACACACACACACACACACACACACACACACGTATTGGGGAAGGTGGGGTCAGAGCAGTGCCTGGGAGGCCCAGCAGGCCATGGGTGGAGCATTTGTCCAGCCTGGGGACCAGGTGCACTGCAGGCAGCATGAAGCTCAGGGAGAGAGGATGTCAGAGAAAGGAATGAAAATCCAAAAGGGGCCCCTGCAGGAGGCGAGGCTGAGCTGGGTCAGGCTAGTGTTGGGCAACCAGAGAGGGAGGTGGACTGTGGGCTGAGGAAGCTCGTTAGGGAACCGAAAGTCCCTCACTGCGGCCAGAGGGTGGCGTGTCGGTGGGGTTTTGGGGAAGAGGAGGGCTGAAGCTGGAGCGGTCACCAGGCTTCAGCAACTGGTTGAGGGGTGAGGAGGGGGGGTTGGTGAAGATAGAGGAAGATACCTCAGTTGTGACTTGACAGTTCAGTCAGCAGGCAGCGACTGTGGTGGCGGCTGGCTGGCAAGAAGGCCACCACTGTCCTCAGTAGAAGATGGCCTCTGACCTACAGATGTCCAGGGCCGCCTCTTAGAAAGGTGCAGGAGACAGTGGGGTGCCTCCACCCCTCCTCCCTATCCTGTGGCCTGCCTTCCAGGAGAACCAGGGTGTCAGCTTAGCCAAAAGCTGGGGCTGATGGGACTCCTGGAAGTCACCAAGGCTGGGGAATATCTGGGGCCAATCCAGCCCTCCTAAGCTGCACTTTTGAGACCCGTCCATGTTCAGGCCCACCCCTGAGTATTGTGTAACGACACCTGCCGCATGTGGGAATTGATAACGTGGGTGGGCGCCCCTTTCAGCAAAGTAGTGGAGGTGCTGGTTCGGGGTGGCCTAGGTCTGCAGGCAGGACAGCAGACTGGTCTCAGCCAGAAGGACGTAACAGTCATTAGGGCCTGAGGGCACTCCGTCAAGGAGGGACCCTTCCCCCTTCATAGCCTTTCACCCCGAGAGTCACCACCCCAGTGCCAAGAAGGAGGACTTAATGGGAGTGAACTGGCCCAGGACCACAGGGCCAGGGAGGGTGGAGCCGGGGCCCAGCCCATGGCCTTTGGCCCGCTAGGTACTTCCCTAGAAGGGAGTGGGGGTTCTCTCTGGGGCAGGCAGGTCTGAGATGGAGGACGCTTCCTCCTTGTGTGTGTGTGGCTCTGGCTAGCCTGCCAAGGACGCCTCCCTGCCTCACCAGCCCCTTTCTTTTCAGGAGGGCTCGAGCCCAGACCCCAGCCCTGCTTCTGGCTCGGCTCCGGCCTCAGCAGCCCCACCTCCGTCCCTTGGTGAGTAACAGGGGGGCGGATGGTGGAGAATCAGTTCAGCTCAGGCTGCTCACAGATCCAGGACTGGGGGCCTCTGGGGCAGGCATCAGCTGGGGGTGCCTTAGCCTGCTCTCTATTTACAGGTGGGAGCTCCCCAGTAGAGGAGCCGCCTCCAAGCCCAGGGGAGGAGGCCGGGCTGGTAAGGAGGGCTGAGGGGGCAGAGTGGATGTGGACACTTGCTGGGGGGGCCTGGGCTGAGCCCACACTGTCCCTCCACCCATCCCTCCTCAGCAGCGATTCCAGGATACGAGCCAGTACGTGTGCGCAGAATTGCAGGCCCTGGAGCAGGAGCAGAGGCAGATAGACGGGAGGGCAGCCGAGGTGGAGACGAAGCTGAGGAGCCTCATGGAGTCAGGTGAGGCCCGCTGAGTACACACCCACCATGGACCACCGCCTGCCCAGCCCAGCAGCTCTTCTTAACCTTGAGAGGAGGCACACCTGGGTCATCATCCCATTTTACAGCTGGGCACACTGAGGCCCTGAGCAGGGAACTCGCTTGTCAGACACTCTCAGCCCTTCAAAGCTCTGGCTTCTGGGTCCCCACAAAGGGGCAAGCCTCCTTCCCAAGCTTTCAGCTGCCCTGCCCTTCCTGACACCGAGCAAGGCTAGCAGGCCTGCTGACCGCCCGGCCCTGTCCAGGTGAGGACAAGCTGCAGGAGGAGATGCTGATCCAGGAGTGGTTCACGCTGGTCAACAAGAAGAACGCGCTCATCCGGAGGCAGGACCAGCTGCAGCTGCTGTAAGTGCGGGCACGTGCCCTGCAGGCCCCGCCCCTCGTCCCAGGCTCCGCCCCTCGGCCAGCACCTGCAGGTGGAGGCCTGCAAGAGAAAGGCAGAAGCAATCTTTGCTATTATGGCTAGAACTAGTCACTGCTTTCTTTTAGTCTTTTTTTTTTTCTTTTATTCTTTTTTTACGAAGTGTTTTTTTTAAAAAATTACCTAGCCGTCTTACTGCAGGTTAAGATGAGTTTGTGTAGCCTAATTGGGTAAAGAGTTGCACAGCCAGTCCAGAGGCCCTTGGCTGGAGTCCAGCTGCTCCCTGGGAGAAGGATGGAAAAAAATCTCCCGTGTGATTTACAGCCTCTGAAAACCCTCTGGAGGGTCAGCTCCAACTTGTTGGCACATAATAACACTGCAGGTTGTCCCCAATTTATGACCTCAGTCGAATCACTTTTTTAAAGTTTTCATTATTATTTCCTTTTATTAATATTTTTTAACTTCAACCGTTACATCTTTTCAGGGGTTGGAAACATCACATAAAATTTGCAGTTATACACTTACAGTTATATTTTAGTACACCCGCATTAATAGTAAGGTGCCAAAGAAACAAGGGGTCAGCTTCGAGTGTGGTTCCTGGGACTGCCTGTAATGATACCAGTCAGCTTCCTATATAAAAGCACACCTCCTAGGTTTGTGTGTTCTTATTTTTTTAAAAAATTTTCTTGGTGTGTGTCATTGAATCTGATCCGACTGGTACAGGAGGAGATTGCCCCTCCTTTTCCAGTGTAGCATCTGGTGGATTCGAAACGCGTGCCTTTGGGATTTCAGCACAGCTTCTTGCCACTAGGCCACAAGAGCTCCTAGGCTGGAGTATTCTTACTACTGAGAAAACCAAGGTTCTCCTAGCAAGATGTGGCAAAGGCCCTCCCCTTTTGACCTTGTTCCCTCACAGTGTAGGAGGTGGGCCTGAGAGAGCTCGGAGCTGGTCTCCTGAGCTGTCAGAAGTGACTCTCCACTGTCGTCGTTTTTCAGCAGATTCACCTCCTTTTGCCATTATTTGTCAAAATACTTTTAATCTGACATTTGCTGTTGAATCGTTTCATATGAAGGAGGGTGCACAGCCTTTGGAGATCTGTTGGAACAGTAGATGGGTTTGCTGACCAGGGTGCAGCTGAGTCCTCTGATCCGCCCTCAGGAATAGAGGTGGGGTCAGAGTCCTGGGCACCCCACCTGACCCCTTTCTGCGACCTAGCTCTGACACTGTCCCCACTCCAGCATCGAGGAGCAGGACTTGGAGCGGAGATTTGAGCTACTGAGCCGGGAGCTGCGGGCCATGCTGGCCATCGAAGGTGGGGTTCCGGGCCAGAGGGCGGGGGCTCAGGAGCGGCCAGGGGCTGGGCGTGCTGACACTCAGCCTCCTCCGCCCTCAGACTGGCTGAAAACGACCGCGCAGCAACACCGAGAGCAGCTTCTGCTGGATGAGCTAGTGTCCCTGGTGAACCAGCGCGACGAGCTGGTTCGGGACCTGGATCACAAGGAGCGGATGTGAGTGGGGCCGGGCACGCCGGGAGCTGGGGACGGCCCTTCGCTCCGCCTGGTCTCTGCCTCACCGGGACCCTTTGCCTCCCAGCGCCCTGGAGGAGGACGCGCGCCTGGAGCGCGGATTGGAGCATCGGCGCCGCAAGCTGAGCCGTCAGCTGAGCCGGCGGGAGCGCTGCGCGCTGAGCTGAAGCCGCAGCCGCGGGGGAAGACGTGTCTCGGCCCCGTGGATCGTGGTTAGTTGGAACCGGGGCACCTGCGTCTGCGCCCCGTTGGGGCGGACGCTGGGCCCCAAGAACAGGAGCGTGGGTTGGCCGCGCCCTTCGGCCGTATTTATTTTTGTCTGTGTGAGTGTGTACACGTGTGTTCACTGAGGAGTAGTGGCCTCCAGAGTGCCCCCTCCTGACTGGCCCTTCAACAGGAGGACAGGACCAGCCAGCTGCAGGGTGAGGACTTGCTGGCCTCCTGCCTTGACTGCTCTTTGGAGCAAAAGAAGTTAGACCAGGAGACAAAGGAGCTGCCCTTTCTAAGGGCACCTTGGACTTTGCAATGGACAGAAAAGGGTGGAGCACAGACCTTTAAGGCCCTGTGACCCCACAGGCCCTGGGAGGCTCCCAAGGCTGGCCCTTGGCCTCCGCAGGAGGGAGGAGGGCCAGGTGGGGAGTCAGGATCCCACTTTTAACAAAGAGATGCATGAACTCTTGGAATTGTTGTTCGTTTTATTATTCTGTCAACAATATTTTGTGACGCCGTAATCCACTACGCACCCCACCACCCAATTTCCAGAAGCTTCCCACAGCCACTTATTAACAGCTTAACCTGCTGTGCTGCTCTGCCTGGAAGGAGCCAACACATGACAGCTGTAATCATGCCGGAGCTTCCTCTGGGGTGGTGCCTGCGGCAGGTACGATGCCCAGAGCCAGGTGGTCCTGCCCTATGATGCCACTTTGGTCCTCTGCAATCGAAAGACCTCTGGACTCGAAGAAGCGCACAATGGAACGGACCTGTGGCAACTCCAGGAAGGTCTCCACGGCTAACAGCATGGCCAGAAGTCCGAGGAGCATATAACCTGGAGAGGAGAGGTGTCCAGGGAGTGCCTGGGGCGCGATGATGCCCTGCACCCACCTCCTACACTGAGTGCCATTACAAAGCCTGGTGATTGGGAGGAGGGCGTGGTTTCTGCAAACTACAGCTCCCATAACCTCTAGGGCGGGATTCCTGGGCGGGGCCAGATTCCCCTTGTTTTATGAAATTTGAAGTCCAGGGCCACTCACCCAGCAGAGCGAGCTGGCCGAGGTGGTAGATGGCCGGGTGCAGGCCTCGGCCTTGGCCTGGTAGCAGCTCCCCAAAGCCCACGGTGCTGAGCGAGTCGAAGCAGAAGTAGATCGCCCCTAGCAGGCTGCCTTGGCCCTGTAGCTGCCACAGCACCAGTGCGGGCAGTAGCACGAAGATACCTCCAACCAGCAGGCCCAGTGCAGCGGCCTGCAGCATCGCAGCGCGGTCAGCGGTCAGCTGCCAGCGGGCGGCTGCCCAGGCCCCCGGGCGGCTGAGCACCGGCAGCAGGTGGTGGCGCAGCGCAGCCGCAAGCACCAGGGAGGCCGGCAGCCCCAGGGTCGCGTACACCATGCAGAAGACCTTGCCACCCGGGGACAGGGGGGCTGTGTTGCCATAACCTGGAGGGGAGAGCAAAGGCTGGGCACTTGGTGAGATGCCCACGGGGATGCCCACTTCTCCCAACGTCGCCTGCAGAAGGCTGCCCTCTGGCGGCGGGAGTCGCCCGAGCCGGGGAGGTCCCCGCTCCCTTCGGCCTCTCATTCATTCGTTGAGGGTCCTGGAGAGGCCACTACAAGTCTCTGGGCCACTTTTCTGGAAGAGACGGGATTAAAGGAAACCGCTCCTTCACGCCTCTTGGGGCTGGATTGATTCTGAGAATTGCTTCCTTGCTTTCAATGGGAACCTGGTTTTCTAAGAAATTCACCTTTTTCACCCACAGGCCCCCACATATCACACTGGCCAAGGGGGTCAGGCTTTGTGCTGGAATCTGAGTATGCCCCACACCAGGGTCAGTGCGTCTCCTCTGAGTCCTGCCAACCCTGTAGCATAGGGTAGAACGCTCCTGTTGTGTTCCCTAGGTTTTAAATCTACAGAAGCAGGTGCCATAGCTTTTGCTCTAGGGGTGGCTGGTTGGTGAGTTTGAACAGCTGATCTTCTCAGTCAGCGGCTGACTTCTTAAGTGAGGGTTTAGCCACTGCACCCTGAGGGCTCCTTTGAGTGTGGCCAGGCGCTGCCTTTTGGTGGGAGAGGCCAGCAGATAATCAGGACACTTGACATCAAAGGGCTACAAGTGAGATGACAAAAACATTGGTGGCTTAAAAAAGTGTGTGCAGAGAGGGGGCAGCAGGGACGATGAGGGAAGAAGATCCCTTAGTCCAGCGGTTGCAATCTCAAATCTGAAGCCAGTGAGAGCACAGGGGAGTGGTGAGGATTGGGGGTAACTGGACGTCATGCCCAAGGGCCAGGCCCTCTTCTCCAGCCAGTGTGTTTTCCTATGGGGATTCTTGCTTAGGGCAAACAAATTTGCTGATTTTTCAAGTGTCAGGAGAGCCACCGGCTGGCAGTTCTTTGTCCGTCTTTGCAAAGTATTTTTTCCTAATGAACTTTTTTTGCTTGCATGGGGGAGAGGAAAGAAGCTAGAAATAAAGACTTCAAAAGTAGCCTAGATACTTTGAAAGACAAAATTTTTCAGGCTTCTAGGTCTCTGCCTTCTTTCTCTTTGCCCATGCTGTCCTGTCAGCAGGAATCCCTTCATCCCCTGTATCTCTGCCCTGTTGCTTTGACTAACATCTCTGGAAGATGTTAACCTTGACTGACCATTTCTCCCAGAAGCCTTTCTTCCTATCCCCCCTCAGTCCTGCTCTGTGCTCCCCAGATAAGACCCTGAGGAGGTGATCCCACTGTAACCCTGTGAGGAGTAGAACTGTCCATGGTGTTTCTAGGGCTGGACGCCTTTATTGACCCTCACAGCAGCATCCTCCACCCACATGGCAGCTGGTGGGTATGAATCACCAGCTTCTTGTTTGGCAGTCAAGGACTTTGAGCTCTGCACCACTAGGGCTCTTCTGTACTCCCTGGCTACCTCCATCTGAGGACCCATTCCCTTGTAAGCCTTACCTGACGCCCCTGGGGCCCCAGGCACCTCTCCTGGGCGGGGCATGGTGTGGAGGAGGACACGCCCTCCTGGCAGCCGAAGTGGAGGCACTAGTTGGGGCGCGTTGGCGTGAGGAGCTCCAGCTGTGATGTCAGGTCTGATGGGGCCTACTCTGTCTGGTACTTGGGGCTGGGGGAAGGGCCTCATCCCCAGGGGCCCCAGCGAGCAATGGCCTCCGGAGTCCCCTTCTGCCTACCCGTGGTGGTGAGGATGCCAGCCGTGAAGAGCAGAGCTGAGGGCAGGTCCCAGTTCTCGGCCTCTGAGTCATTGCCCAGGCTGGAGACTCCGTGGGTCTGAGCCACCAAGGCAGCCCCTAGCAGCCCCTCCAGTGCCCCAGGTGGCAGGCAGGCCTGGTGCTTGGCCTGGAAGGTGTTCAGTTCGGCTCTGAGAACAGCCTGGAGCCGGCGAGCTGGAGGGCCCTCCAAGGCCTGGAGCACAGCCGTCCCGAGACCCAGGGCCAGCAGGTAGCCCGTAATCAGGAGCCCGTATCGGGCCCAGGGCCTCAGACCCCACATTTTGTGCTGCTCAGAGTCGGGGTGCTGGAGGAGCTGGCTTCCCCAAGCTGCGTGGGAAGGGCTGGGCAGAGGAGCATGAGCTAAGCAGGGTGTGACAGCTCCCTCGGGCTTGCAGGTGAATCATCCCTCCTAGTTGGAGGGTAAACCTGCAGCGAACCCGGCTGCCCGGTGGATCCTCACTCCGTGAGGTGGAACGGCCCTTAACATCTTGGAGGCGGTCATCTTTTCAGAGCCACTGCTGGGTCTGTCTCCCACAGAGGACCTGGTAAGTGCAAGGGTTGCCAGTCAAGCACTTCACCACTGTGCCACTAGGCCTTCCTTTGAGGCCAAGACAGGGTTGGTTTGGTCATTTCACTGGTGGTGGGATGGAGCCAAAGGCAGTTATGGTGAGGAAGCCGGGCCCAGAGACTCAACAGACTTGTCACCCTGTGGCTTATTCAAGGACACACTCATTATACTCACATCAATCCCATTCATTTAGCAAGTCCCCCAGCCACAGCACAGGAGCACGCGAACAGGTCCCTCCCAGCCCAGTGCACACATATAGCAGGGGACATTCTGTCAGCACAGACTATAACAACTGCATATTGTCCCAAGCCCATGAACGAGCTTCCTGGGTGATGAGAAGGTTGTTAGGTGCCATCTAGTTGAGTACAACTCACAGCGACCCTGTGAACAACAGATCTGAACCCTGTCCTATCTGTGCCATCCTCATCATCTCTGACACACTCAAACCCACTGCCACAGTCACGGTGTCAAACCTCTTTTCTTGGAAGGGAACATGAGAATGAGGGAGGGGCATCTCTGGGAATGTCTAAGGAGGGGACACTGAGAACAGGTTAGTTAAGATCTGGGGGAAGAATCAGGCTAGTTAAGATCTGGGGGAAGAATCAGGCGGAGGGCACAGCTCTCCTGAAGGCCTCAGGGTGGGACGGGGCCTGGGCTGAGGAAGCACAGGGGCGGCCAGTGTCAGCTCCCGGATAGGGTGAGAAGCAGGGGTGGGGTGAACACATGGAGCTTGGGTTAAGCATGGCCCAGGAAGAACTCAGGCACCTGGAGGGATACAGGGTGGCCTACGCCAGAATTGGAGGAAGCAGGACTCAGTGGGGTTTGTGATGGGTCAAAGTAGGGTTTGAGGTTAGGAACCAAGGACCCTGGCACTGGGGCTCACTCAGGACAGATGACGCTCTCAGTCTTTCCTGAGGGTCTCTTGTGCTCTGCTTCCCAGGTTTCCCAACTTTGCTGAGCATGGGTGAAGGTGAGAGGCCTGGACTACAACTCCCAGAAACCATTGAGGGTGCTGAGCCCCAGAGGACAAAGGCTCCTGCCCTAGAGCATGGTATGGGAGTTGTAGTCTACAAGTCCATGGCAGTGCAGTGTTAGGGTGAGTTATGTCTGTGTTGTGTCTAGACAGCCCTCCAAGATGTCACGCAGAGGGCTGTGGGTTCCTGAGTTCAGAAAAAGCTTGGCAGGGGTAGCAAGCAGGCTGCCTGGAAGCACAGGTGAGGTGTATGAAAGGCCCTGGCTGGGGTCAGGTAGTGAAGCCAGAGCTGGGGGTCTGGGTCCCAAGATAACGTGTAAGGCAAAGTGGGAAGCCACTGCCAGTTCCTCTGGGGCTATGAGGACATCAGGGCTTCGTGCCAGGCTGAGCTTTGGGATACAGCTTACAAGTTTATTTGGCTTCAGTAGAGGCCGAGGCCGAGGCCCCGGCAGGAGCAGGAGGAAGGCACTGAGAGAGTCCTGGCCTCCCATCAAGGGAGGTCCACGCGTTAATCCCTGGGCAGGGACCACAGTAGCAGGACTTGGTCAGAAGTGCAGGTGACAGCTGGTGGCCCTCCCCTGCACCACCTGCCTCCCTGTACCACCCCCGGGCAATTCCCTGAGACAGGATCTGGTCCTCCCAACCAGCTGGGCACAGTGTCAGCCCCAGTGGGGCGGGGAAATCGGGTAACCCACAGGTTGCAAGTATGGGGGTTCAGGCCCCCGTCCAGTGTGAAGGCTTCCTGTGCAGTGTAGTGTTCCCAACCCCTAGAGGGGCTGGGTCCCTGGGGAAACTGAGGCAGCTCCTGAGGCTGCCCGGCTCCTGTTCCAGTGTAGACTGTGGCCTCTCTGGGGCAGCTGGAGCGCTCACGGCCTTGCTTCTGGTGCCCAAGGGGCTTGGGCACCCACGTCTTTGGTCTCCACCCTGCAGTCCTGGGGGCCTTCCCGGAAAGGGTTGGCAGGTGGGGAGTCCCAAAAGGGGTCCGAGTCTGGGAACAAGGTCCAAGGTGCCCGACGGGGGGCAGGCTGAGGGGAGGGCAGAGGTGAAGGCCGTGGTCCAGCTGACACAAAGCTCCATGGGTCGATGCGGCTGCGAAGGGGTGAGGGCCGAGGGCGGCTGATGAGGCCCAGGGGTGGCGAGCGTGGGGTGCCGGGGGTCCCAGGGGCGGAGCGTGATATCCCCGGTGGAGGTGAGACAGTACGTCCTGTGAAAGAGGGACACCTGGTCAGCTTGCCACTGATCCTGGGCGTCCCGGGATGCACGGCCTTGCTCTGGGCCTCAGTTTCCCTATGTGTGCTGTGAACGTTTGGACTCCTAACAGTGGCTTCTCTGATCTGTGACACAGTCATTTATGATATAGGCCTGTGGAGCAGCCCGGCCTGGGCTTGAGTCCCAGCTCTGCCTCATACTATCTATGAGAGCTGCAGGGTTCCTTAACCTTTGTGCCTTAATCTTCCTCCTCTATAAAATGGACACTACTAAAAGTACCTAGGGAGCTCTCGTGGCTTAGTGGTAAGGAACTGCACAGCCAACTGCCAAACCAAAGGTACAAAGTTCAAATCCACCAGCTGCTCTATGTTGAAAGATTGGCTATCTCTTCCTGTGAGATTTACTGCCTCTGAAAACTTGCTGGAGGGTCAGCTATGAGTTGGCTCTGACTCAAACGTCCACACAACAACTAGCTGCAGGGAGAACTCCCCGGTTGCTGGCGTGTCATTGGTTAAGCACACCTCTGTTAGCCCCTGGGTGGCAGCTCAGATCCATCAGACACCAGGAGCTGGACGACAGCCCTGCTAATCAGGTCCGGGAGGTCTCAGCCTTGAACATCCTATGGGCAGTTCTGGTCACATGGGACAAGAGGATTTGGAATCAACTTAACAAGCAACTAACAACAGCCATCATGTTAGCGGCGTCAAGTGAACTGGTCCAAAGTCCCGGGAGGTGGCTTCACCAGGAACTGTCAGGAAGCCTGCTGTGATTTCACAACTAACCAAGATGTCCCACCCCTGACCACCAGGTGACAAGTCAGAATCCAGTTCTCTGAGGGGGCATCCAGTGGGTGACTTGAGGTCCTCCCTGACCTCACCACCCCAGTCCTGGAACTCACCCAGCGTCTCTTCCCGCCGTGGGCTCTTGGCGGATGGCTGGTCCACAGGGGTGCCCAGGTCCAGCAGCAGCCCGGGGGTGCTAGGGCTCAGCCGGGAGGCAGGCGCGCTGGGCGTCTTGGGCGATAAGCGGATGAGTGGGGAGGCAGGAGGCTCAGCGGGCGTCCGGACTGGCGTAGAGGGTGCAGGCGAGGCCTCCCCGCGATCTCGGCCGGAGCCTCCTGGTGGCTGCAGGTCTCGGCCGAGGCCCAGGGAGGCCAGTAGGGCGGTGCCACGCAGCAGGGCACGCTGGATCAGCTTTGGAGTCCCTGACCCGCTGCTGCCGCTGCTCCGCTCTGCAGCACCCCTCCGCGGCTCCTCCGGCTCCGGGCTCGGTCGTGGGGGGTTCCCTGCCAGCAGGAGGAGTACAAGTTAGACGACAGGCCGTCCCACCTCTGATCATGGTGCCCCTGGAACAAATGCGGGGTTCTGTGCCACGCCTGAGGCCCTCGTTCCTATCCACTTGATTCACGAAGTTGGGGGTCCTGAGAGAGCAACGTCCCCCAGGGGCTGGCGATGGCAAGGGTGGGTGCAGGTGTGCACTTGGGTGGGCTGGGAAGGGCACCCAGGAGAAGTTAGGCCAGAGGGGCCTGAGGTTGGGAAGGATGAATAGACACAGGACTCACACCACCAAGTGGGCCAGTGCCCTGTGCTCTGGCCACCCCTTTCCTGGGCTACACAGTCCTCTCACTTCTGCTCACCAGCCCTCAGGTCACTGAGTTTTATCAATGACACTGCACTGAGGTGCCTGTCCCATCCCATACGGGCAGTGAGAAAACCAAGGCATCCAGAAAACAGCATCTTGACTGAAGTTGCAGCTACTTCAGGCACCACGGAGGTGAGCCAGGCTGGCTGAACGGTTAAGGGATTCATCCTGTCTGCTCCTCATGTCCCAGGGCTGTCCAGGCTCAGAGAAGTTAAGGGCTTGCCTAAGGCTGAACAAGGGAGCACTAGTGGCCTAGAGGTAAAGAATTGTGCTGTCCGCCCAAAGGCACGCAGTTCAAACCTGCCATCGGCTCCTCAAGAGAAAGGGGCAATCAACTCCCCTGTGATTTACTTCCTCTACAAACCTGCTGGAGGGTCGGCTAGGAGTTGTTACTGCCTGGATGGTACACCACAACCACCACCACAGCACCACCGCCACCACCACAGCACCACCGCCACCACCACAGCACCACCGCCACCACAGCACCACAACCACCACCACAGCACCACCGCCACCACCACAGCACCAC